AAAAATTGATTTTCTGATTTTTGACACGTTTTACACTTAACTTCCACCAGTGGAGGTTACCTTAAAAATCTGCTAAAACCTAGTTTTATCAGTTTTTACACTTAACTTCCACCAGTGGAGGTTACCTTAATGCACATGATACTGTTTTTAACAACAGTAAAACATTAGTACAGCAGTACCTCTACCTCTTCACATTTAAACATCTCCTTTATTTTGGTACGTAGCACTTCATCTGCCTTAAATCCGATTACAGAAAGACTGGCCTTGTTTGGTTGAAACACTGCTCTTATAGCCAACTCCTTCTTCAGCATCACATCAAGTTCATAAGGGAATTCAAGGGGATCAAAATCTCCAGTCTAAATGATTAAAACAATATATGTTAGTTACGTGGAAATTATCTATCTTACATATTAGACAAATGGAAAATACCTCCATCAAATCCAACTTCATCTGAAGGGCGGACTTCCCAATCAACTTTACACAATCTACATCCCAAAATACGAACTTGTATTTTAACTTTCCATCGGAGGCAAGCACTTCAAGCTTAAACCTGTACCATGAAAGGTAAAAATAAGAAATTGTCAGTAATGAAGCGCTTGGTTATATGATGATAATCATTGATATGCAATACTTAGAAGTTACCTTGGGACTGGCTCAGAACTGATGTGTTTGGAATAACACATGAATTTTCCATCCTTCAAAGTCACACTTTTGGTACATTCACTACATCCATCATAATACCATCCTGACTGCCCACATTCAAACTTCTCTGGAGTTGCAACAGTCACACATGTAGTTTCCTGAAACAGAAAGATGGGATTATGTCTCAAAAAATGGATTAGAACCCAATCTGTGTAATTCCTCAATCTAAGACAGTCATGTATTAAAGAGCAACGTACTGTCTGCAGATATGCAATATCAGACAGACTCAACACTTCAGCTTTCCATACAAATTTGTCCAAATCAGAAAAAACAGAGGTATTTGTGGTTTCCATTTTCATGCTTGAGGATGAGAGCGTCGGCAGATCATCTTTAAGTCTGATGATCATAGATCAGAATGAAAACAGGCTGTTAGAAATCATAGGTTGCTAATTCATAACTTCAGAATAAAATCACTTACTTCTCTTTAAGGTTTTTAACCTCCTCAATAGACAAATCATTGATGAGCAGTTTTGTGCCGTTCCAAGCATTTGATACATTTAAAGGATAATTTCCTGAAAATTGAGATATTTATAAATGACAACACTTAAAGTTGGATATAATAATTGGATGTGATAAGAAATAGTCACATAGCAAACCTCGAGGTTCCTTGATCCTTGCATTCATAAGTAGGAGAACAATACTACCATCAGCCTTATGAGTCGTATAATACTCATTCAGTTGCACAACTAATTTACCCCAAAGAGTACATTGCACATGATGTTTGCTGATTCACAGGAATTTCAAAACAAACAACATGAACATGTTAAACTTTTATATTTGTCAGCATCAATGTTAACAAACAAAATGAAACACCTACCTCAGATCAGTTAATGAAAACACAACCTTGCTTTTGTTGTTATCAGGAATTATCTGGGCTTGGGATATTTCAGTAACCCCACCAATTATATCTGCACAAAAGTTCACCACAGACAGTTATGGATAACAGAAAAGTAACAATACAATGCGTTCTATTATAACAGTAAAAAGGTAACTCACCATATAACAAATTCGTTCTGTATTTACCCTCAATAATAGAATTTATTCCAATTAACTTGAGATGGTTCAGAGGTATCTCAGAAAGTTGGACCTTCTTGACGGAAGTTGAACCACAGAAAATCAATTTGAACTTATGATCAGTGGATTTGAAGGAGAAATCATTGCTGGAAACTTTGAAATTCTGCATTACGTAGGAACAACCAACTTCAAGCTGTGTTTTGAATTTTGATACCAAATAAGATGGCACAATGGCTGGAAAAAAATCCAACTGTCAAAATACAAACCTGCATTATGTAGGAACAACCAACTTCAACCTGTGTTTTGAATTTTGATACCAAATAAGATGGCACAATGGCTTGAATCAAATCCAACTGTGAAAATACAAACATCTTGAAATCAGTATCATATAACAGTACAGTTACAACAAAATCAGAATGCCAAAGCAGAAAAGTTTAGATTGTATTATACCTTTGAATCAAACAGAATAAGCTCTAAGTGCTCTCTATTCTGAGAACTGGTAACAGACCACATATGCTTACATCTAACAGCAACCTTCCACAAATCCTTCGAATCGTCAATGCTACTGATATACTCGATTGGGCGCGCCATCCTCACGCAGGAATTCGTAATAGCGCAGAGACAACAAGGTGTTAAGCAATGGAAAACGACTCCTCACGTCTGCAGCAATGAAGAAAGACTGAAAAACTGTTGAGGTTCCATTTGAATTTGAAAACTGATTAAGAGAGGCATAATGGTTTGGCATGGGGAAGAGGAAGAGAGACATATTGAATTGCAACGAATTATGGTTTGGCATGGGGAAGAGAAAGAGAGGCATAATGGCATGGATTTATTTGGAAGAAAAAAAATTGAAAATGTGGTGAAAAATTGTGGGAGTGCCACATCAGATTCAAATGAATGTGGTGCAAGATATTTTTGAGTTTCCTAATTTACCCCAATACAATAGACCAAGAAAGCATTTTATCAGCTTTGGTGTTTTGATAAAATCCAGGGACATTGATTTTTATAGATAGATAATAGATTGATTTTACTACTCCTTTTCATCTTTGCAAATATTTAATTTTAATTTTTGTCATAAATATTAAGTGAATAAAAATCAAATATTGTACATAATACAAAAATTAATTTTAATAAAAGTAAAAGTAAAAGTAAAATAGAAAAATATTTGTAAGAACCAAACAAAATAAAAATAATTACAAAAATTATAAATTATAAATTTGCAGGAACCAATTTCATATTTAAACTATTAAAATAAATATATAACTATTCTTTACAAATATAGGAGTACTTTTTATTATTATTTAGATCACATAAACTTTTTCCTTGATTCTGCATTTACATTTTTAAAAAATTTTATTCAAATTCTTCACTGAAAGAAATAAAATCAATATTTTGTACGGATAAAGATCAAATCATTATAAATATTAAAAAATTTAAAAAAATTGGAATTAATTTTTTTATTTATAAAAATTATGAAAAAATATTTAAATAATCCTTTTAATATCTATAAGTTTATAAGTTTTTTTTTTTTTTTCGTTTTTGTTTTTTTTCTCAAAGATAATTTATAAATGATAATTTTTATTTATTTTAATTTATAAAGTTAAAATTCGCCAAAAAAAATACGTAGAAAATCTATTGATTCTCTTGTGTGTTTTAATTTTATAAAATAAAATTATTGAGAAAAAACTAATTTTATAAAGATCAAAATAGCCTTAAAAAGTTATATATTTATGATGAATAACATATTTTAATTTAAAACAAATATTTTATAGATTCTCTTTGTAGAAGATGTTACGGTGGATTATATTTTGTGGAAGGAAGAACAGAACGATATCAACACTATTAAAATAGATTATAAACTCTAGTGGTAGGAAAAGTATAAATTCAAAAATGGAAGGATAAAAGGTGTCGGAGGGAGTTTATGGAGAATTAAAGCACTTCTAAAATCTAAACATCTTCTTTGGCGTTTATGTTAGGGCTGTCTTTCTATTAGGAAAAATCTCCGACAATACTATGTTCCTTGCCCACATAGTTGTCAGTTGTGTAATGCATAAGTGGAGGACGAGTGACATATTTTCTTTGGGCGTGCGTTAACGAATAATTGTTGGATTGTTACAGGTATTGATTATGTTATTAGGACGCGACTCGCCATAATGAACGATGTGCGGGAAGTGATCTAAGATATTTGTAGTAAGGAAGATTTCAAAGTAGCAGGGAGAGTGACGGTCATGGTTTGGGTGTTGTGGAATAATAGGAATAATTAGATCTGGAATGAAGAGAAAAAGGAGGTCAACTACTTAGGATCGCAGAGTTATCATCTATGGCAGGATTAGTTTTTGGCCCAAGAGCCACTGAGAGACAACAATAATAGGACCCAACATCATGATGCTTGACAACCACTTCCAAATAATTGATTGAAATGTAATGTGGATGCGGGATTTAACGTCCAACTTGACATGACTAACAGAGAGTGGTGAGTTAGAGATTGTCTTAGGAGTTTTAAGGTAGCAGATACATCGTGGGATCACGATTGATATTTTATTGTTGAAGTAGTAACAATAGTTTTGAAGGAAGAGATCCAAAGAACAGTCTAATTAAACTTGAGTTATATTATCTTTGAAAGCGACTCATATATAATGATTCAAGTTATTCATACAACTTTATCTGATAAGTCTGAATTTAGTATAATTATCGTTAATATTAAAAATCTTCTATTTTCTGGTCATAACTTTAAAGTCAAATCTATTAAATATCAAATTAATTGTATTAATTGTATTGTTCATAACTTAATTCAATCTGTCAATTCTTAATCCCAATGCACAATACTTTATTTAAGTCCTGATTATATTGAACATTCATTATTTAATAATATGAATAGAATTTGTTTTTGTAAAAAAGATAACTATTAAGTGCGTTAAAACTAGTGGAAAGTCATTCCCACGTTTTCAAATGAAAAAGTGGATAGGGTTAACAATACAGTTGTTGAGTTTTGTCAACTAAAAAACAATTTGTTGAATATTCAATTGAATAAAAACTGGCTTTCCCTGTCCGAATGAGAAAGAAAAAAAAGGAAAAAGGTTGAACGAGTAAAAAGTGGTTGAACCACGCGTCAATGCAAGAAACTTCGAGAGTGTACGCAGAACGCCACTTAAGATAGAAACTTCATGAAAATTCCAAAGACCAGTCTTCCACGACTCTTCCATTTTCCCATCTTTATCTAATTCCATTTCGATATAAATCCTCTCATCATCGCTTTATATCCAGCATACCAAAAACACATTTAGCTGTTCGGAGCAACAAACAAAACGACCAAATCCTTTTCCTCGATTTTTCCAAATACACACGACACAACAAACATGTTTATGTCTATGTTCAGCCACTTGGATATCTCGCAAGGCAAGAAATGGAGCTTCTCATTTGGTTCGGGCCCGGTAAAGGATTCAAATCCAAAGTCCAATGAAGAAGCAACTTCTTCATCCAAAACCACCGTCAAAGATCCGAAAACATTAATGCCCGGCGGAGAGAATAAAAACCCGACCCGTTTGAGAACAAGATATGCACCGGAGTTTGATGTAAACTGCTTTGAATGCATTGTACCTTCTGTCTGACCGATGGATTCAATTCTGCTCTAATTTCAACCCGCTTATTATCAAATCATGTGCAATTTTGATTCATTTATTTTTACTGTATATAGAGCACATAAATAGTTTTGAAAAAAATTACGTTATGTAGTGTACTGTATCAGTGAGTTCAAACTGGTAAATGTAACTTGAAATTTCAAACAACATAGCCTTTTTCTGTTAATTCTACTTTCGTTCACGTGTGTCTGTCATTGATGTTGTAATTTATTTAAAATTAATTAGTTTCAAAATCATAAGATAATGAAAGTGAATAAATGCTAATAAATCTATGAGAAATAGTCTTACATAGAAGATTCATTTATTTTGAATGTTTTTATAAATAAGTTAAAAATATTAACTCTATAAAAGGAGAAAAAAGATAACTTATTACATTGATAGTCCTAAATATTATGTCACTTTTGTAAATTCCATAAGACTTTTTTGTTGGAAAACTTCTGTAAATTCGATAAGACTTTTTGTTGGAAAAGTTATTGATTTAGTCTTTTGTGTTCTTTTAAAATAGTTAAGGGTTTTTAACTAATAAAGGCATAGTTAAAATAGTTAAAATTATTATATCATTTTTAACTAATAAATTAAGGGTTTTTCATTGAGATTTTTTAAAACAAGTTTATAAAGTGTCACATTATTAACATATTTTTGACATTTATTAACTCTCTCTTACTTATCGGCTCAAAAGAAGTTCAAATAAATATTTCACAGCTTTTGAGAAGCATTATTTTACAACATGATTATTTTTGTAATGCAAGTTCATAATTAATGTTATAGTTGTCATCAAATCATATCATAAATATGTAAAATATATCTATTAATTTATCATCGGAATTATATTTTCATTGATTTATCTCTTAAAAGGTTTAATATTTCCTTCTTTATGGACAATCTATAGACTATAGAAACATTTCTACTTGATCTAAAAAATATTACAAGATAATCATCATTTCTTTAAATTGTAATGTGGTTGGACTATCAAAATTTTGATTTTTCTTTATATTCAAAATCTTAAATATAAAAGAGTAATATCTTTTTTAGATATATCATTTTCTTTTTTTAAAATTGTCTATTTTCTTTTCTTCCCACCTTACAACACTTTTTTTTATGATTTATTTGTGTATACTCTATCATTTGATTATTTGTTTATCTTTTTATTTTGTTAAAGTATGTTTTTTCTTTTCACCATTTTACTATTTGGTCTTTTAAATTCTTTTTCTTTTTCTCCTCAACTTTATCTATTTACTATAAATTCAAAAAAATTATAATGACAGTCCTAATCATCACATGTTATATTTCTAACCATTCTAAGTACAATCCTAATTATACAATAAATAATAATAATAATAATAATAATAAGAATATAATAATATTAAACCACAACTAATAATAATAATAATAATAATAATAATAATATAATATATAATTAATAACAATAATAAAATAATAATAATAAATAAAATAATAACCAACTACCACAATTATAAATAATAATAATAATATATTTAATTAATATTATTATATTTTATTATTCTAATTCTTATTTTTTATACAAAAAAAATTTAATTCTTAAATCATAATAATAATATAATAATAATAATAATATTTATAATAATAATAAAATTATAAATAATAATAATATATTCAATTAATATTATAATATCTTATTATCTTAATTCTCAACTTTTTATACAAAAAAAATTAATTCTAAAATAGTAACAATAATAATAATAATAATAATAATAATAATAATAATAATAATAATAATAATAATAATAATAATAATAATAATAATAATAATAATAATAATAATAATAATAATAATAATAATAATAATAATAATAATAATAATAATAATAATAATAATAATAATAATAATAATAATAATAATAATAATAATAATAATAATAATAATAATAATAATAATAATAATAATAATAATAATAATAATAATAATAATAATAATAATAATAATAATAATAATAATAATAATAATAATAATAATAATAATAATAATAATAATAATAATAATAATAATAATAATAATAATAATAATAATAATAATAATAGATATGTAATCATATATATAAACGTTTTTTATACCAAAAAATATATGTTAAAGAAATGAAAAATAATAATAATAATAATAATAATAATAATAATAATAATAATAATAATAATAATAATAATAATAATAATAATAAAAATAATAATAATAATAAAATAATAATAATAATAATAATAAATAATAATAATAATAATAATCTGATCTGATCAAACTTGGACCGTCACGGCTGACTCCGAGCTGAAGTTTTGAACGAGGTGGGGGTACCTGCAAGACACTCCGATGCTGAAGTGAGTAAGAGCACGAGCAGGCAATAGTAAGAGTATGGGTAGAATGATGAATACCTGACCCTCTGGAAACAGAGGGTATTCATAGCCCCCAGCGCTGGGTCAAGGTTCCTTCATTGGGCCGGGCAGGTTTGGCCCAATGGAGGAACTGTCAGGTTCTACGTGCGTAGTGGGGACCCGCACGTGGTCCCCTCCCTGGATGTTCTGCGTGAAGTGCGGGCGGACGGAGACGCAGTCTTTTCGGAGTCCCGTGAGAGCGTAGTGGACTGAGTCTGCCCTAAGAGGGGTGCTCGGGGTGAGATCGAGCTGGACAGTAGGCGGTCGAGCAAGCAGCCCCAGGGAGCACGTCGGGCACGACTGTGACCCTTTGGTCGGCATGGCCCCCAGCAAGTCCGTTTGGATTGGGCCTTATTAGTGCTATTGGGCCAGTCGGGCCCAGTCCAGAACAGGAGCCTCCCAAGTCGTGGTTCCTTGGGTTAGGAGTCATGGCTTGATCTTAGGTTGCTTCCGTTTCGGGGCCTCGTGCCCGGGTCAGAGACGCAGCTCCTCGAGGGCTTCCCCGTATCGTGCTCGGAGACAAGTCCTTCGCGGGGAATGCTCGGGGATTTCTCAATGGCGCGCGTCTGTCGAGCACGCGAGGTATCTTTTGGGAACTGTGCCGCCACCCTATGAGGATAGGGTCATTATTACCTAGGGGAGCCGTGCGTCGAGGAGAGAAACTTTGTGGTTGCCCAGGGTGACGTTTGGTATTCCACGTCATCACTATAAATAGGATCCTTGGGCCCCATAACGCGTTACTACTCTTCGCGCTTCTGCTGCTGTTGTTTTTCCAGATTCTCATAGCATCTCCGTCACCGATTCCTTACCTCCGTTGCCGAATCTACTCCTTGATTCCAAGTAAGTGACTTATCTTCTCTGTTTTTCTGTTGTGATGCATGATTTTCATCGTTTTTAGACGTTTTAGAGGCTGTGCGCGTGAGACTAGCCCGGTAAATTCATGTTTAGCCCGACAAATTCATGCTTAGGGTCGGCAAACACATGCTCGTGGACGATAGATGCATGGTTTAGGTTATAATCTGCAGTTCTGCCCGGGGTCTTCATGATCCAGGGCGCCTAATTCACGATCGTGCCCGGTATGCTCATGGCTCTGGCTTTAGGCTTTATGATGTTGCTCGCCATGTTCATACCCCGGGTCGGCGTATTCATGAGTGACCGCGTTGTCGGTTTGTTTAGGCGGCTTGAAGAAGGGCCCGTCGAGGTATCTGGAAGTCGGGGAGGCGACTGCTATTTTTGTTTCAAACCAATTGTGGTCGTGCGTAGAGCGACGTGGTTTGTCGCGCGCTCCATCTTGTCCGTTACGACGAGCGTATGGTTTCGTGCCCAATTGACTGGTTTCCCGTGCTCTGTAGGTAACCATGGCGGACGAGTCGTGCTCTTCTGGACGCCCCGAAAGGGAGGAACAAAGTGCCGATGAGGCTGTGAGTTTGATCGACACCGTAGAAGACCCTCTGTTGGACTGGGTGGGCGCCGAGCCTAGAGGAATCGCCTCGGTCTATAGTCGGCGTAGCCGAAAGCCATACGCTGTCCTTGAGGCGAGCCACGGCCAGCCTGATTTTCAAAAGAATTTCATCGTTACGCGACCGACCTCCACCGCTCGGATTTGCTCGGTGTACCCCGAGTACAGTTTCCCCATGTACGAAATTGCATTCAAAGACCTTGGGTTGCAGCTGCCCTTCAGCGACTTTCAGGCGGGGGTCTTCGCCCATTTGGGGCTGGCCCCGTCGCAGCTACACCCGAACTCGCTCGCCTTTATCCGGGCGTTTGAGCTGACCTGTAATTTTCTGAGGATCAGGGCGACTATACCTCTCTTCTTCAGAATCTTCCATCTGCAGCGCCAGTCCCAGGGAGGAAAGCATAGTTGGGTCTCCCTGAAACAGTCGAAGAGACTATTCAAGATGTACATGGACTCCGTGCGGGGTTTTAAAGACAAGTGGTATGTCGTGAGGCCGGTCACCACAGCCGCTTTAGAGTCCGTGTACGAGGAGGAAGCACCGATAAGCGACGATGACGGGGAGGCACTTTTAGACAACGACGGGTATCCGGTGTTGGGACGCACGACCAAGTTCCCCGTGCATTAGATTTCTAGGCATTACGAGCACGGAACTGGGTATTATCATACTTCTACGGGCGACATGGGTTCCGAGGATGAAAAAGCTTATGACACTCTTTGTCGGTACGTTGATAGCTTCCACCCCGCCAGGTGGGCTACGAGGGAGGGGGAAGATGTCTTGGACGAGGAGGGTTATCTGACATTCGAGGCCCGACCGATCGATACTAAGGCACTCGTGGAGTGCCAGTCATTTGGGCAGGCTGCTCGTCTGCTAGGTCGTTTGTTGCTTGAATTTCTTTGTTTGTCATTCGTCCGCTTGTTTGCTCGACACTAACCCGGTTTTTTTTATTTTGTGTAGGTTTGATGACTGGGCGACGGGAGAGACTCTTGAAGTTGTCTTGTGACCAGAAGCGGGGCAAGAGGGTGGTGAAGGCTCCCCAAGCAACGAGGATGGGCCCGCTGCATAGTCCGGGCGCTCCTCATGTGGTGAGGGTGGATTCGTCGCCTAGCTCGGGGG